ATTATGTCATTTTCAGGAAAATGGGAGGAACTTGAGACCATTGTGTTTAAGTGAAATAAGTTAAATTCAGAAGGGCCAACGGCCGTATATGTTCTCTCATATGTGAAAGCTAAAAGAAAAGAAAGATGGGGGAAAGAGACTCTCATGAAAATCAAAGGGAGAGCCGCAGAGGAGAGGGACCCAAGTAGGAAGTGGGAGGTGAGGGGCAGGTGCTGGGGAGGAATATTAGCTGGGTGGTATTGTTATTTTGTGTGCAGGTACAGTATGTAACAACAAATCCCAGTGGATGCACAACTAAAGTACACCAGTGTGGAGAGAGAGAAAGCAACCTTCAAAGGGAAATTCTGAAATATTCCTTTAGTTAGTGAGTAGTTGAGAACGTAGGTGGCGTTCTGTGCGTGTGCCCACCATGCTCCTGTCACCTCTGTCCTGGCCCCTGCAGGCCCACCTCCCCTCGGTCCACCTGGCGTTATGGCCTACTGTATTTCCTCCCCGAGTGCAGTTGTTCCAGGTACCGTCCCCACCTCCTCGTCCAGGTCGCTGCCAGGCCTTCCTCTCAGCACCCTGCGCTGCTCGTTCATAGTGGGTCTTGACCGGTAGTGAGTTCTCCGTTGCTCTGTGCCTGTTTTGATTTCTCCGTGAGTCAGTGAGCGTGTTCTGCTCCATCTTCTGTGTGTGCACAGTGGGTCTTATACTTGCTGCTATTCAGTGGTTGTGCACCTCTGTTTATGTACGGAGACAAAGAAGCTCCTTATCAACCTTTTGCAACTCTCCAAATATCCAGGTTTTTCATTGTGAGCAAAGTCTCACTGCTCCTTTTTCCTTCACCTCTGTTCTTAGGTCTTATGGCAGTTGGACATATTCCGGCGAAGCTTACGGGTTCTGACTGGACATGTCTGTCAGGGAGAAGCCTGCATATTTTGTGCACTGAAGGTAACATTTTAATAGATATGAAAAATTATTATCAATTATTTCTCCAAAAATTTAACTTTGATTGTTGACGTATTTGGTCAGTCCTTGGCAGTGAGAGTGTATGGTCGAGTGGGCTTGCAGACACCTCTGCGGGTGTTTCTGCTCCTTCCTGCCCAGAGTGCCCCCTGGAGCAGGGCCAGGCTGCTGACTGACTCCCCACAGCCCCCACCCTGCTGTCTGTTGGGGCCGCGTTCCATGCTGTGAGGAAGCCTCCATGCTGTGAGGAAGCCGAGCCTCTGGGGAGGCCTCGGGTGGGGGTTGTGGATGTCACCCACATGGACCTGCAGACCCGAGAGAGCCGCTTGATGTGATCACAGGTCCTGCATTCAAACCGTCCCCAGGAGGGAGTCCGTGGGGGACAGGGGTGAGCCATTCACCTGATGGCAGAGTCCGAAAAAGCCAGCGTTTTCAGGGCTAAGCTTGCGGAGTTTGTTGAGGGTAGTCAACATCTGGCCTGGGCTCAGGTCGCGCAGGGCTTCCAAGGCCCTGATGCAAATCATGGCTGCCTCTGGTGGGTGGCCAGATGCGGGTCACTCTGCATGGCACGTGAAGCAGGCTGTCTGGCTGGGATGGAGAGAAGGTAGATGATGGTGGAAACAGGGTCCTGTGGACAATTCATTTTTGTAACTGAAAATCTTTTGCCCAAGAATTTAAGATTGGATGAACACATTTTAAAGATAAATGTGTTTTATTCTTTTAGGTTCTAAAATATTCTTAATGAAGACACACACATGTATACATAGGAACATAAAATTAAAAACAAAACAAAGAAATTCCATGTCTTAGATTTTCTTGTCCCTGAAAGGCTTTTTGAATAAATGGCCCAAGAGGACATTTTTTATTGTCTTCTTTCAAATGTGGTAGGGTGTCCTTGTTACAAGGCAAAGAATCAGCCTCGTCAGGTCATGGTGTCAGCTTATGTACTCTGCAGGGCATCTGAGCGTCCTGCCCCTCTGTGTCACCGAGTTTCCACTCTCCCCGTCCCATGCCCCCACCCCCAAGCACTGGCTGGCCACCGTGGCCACTGTCTGCTGACCTTCTCTGCTCCTGAGCTCGCCCGCTGCCTTCTTGGTGCATTTCTCCAGGTCCCCTTCTGTCAGTGAGGCCTGCCTGATGGCCCTGGGCAGGAAAGGCCGTGTCCCTAATGCGCCCCCACCCGGCAGGCCTCAGCTGTCACCTGCGTTCCCTTCTCTCTCTGCAGTTTTTATTTTTACCTGCCCTTCCTTGTCCCACGTTATATGTGATGGCTCATTGGCATGACTGGACGGCAGCTCCTGTGCAGGTGGGACCATGGACACTGGCCGGCAGGAGGGCATGTCACAGAAGGCCTGGGGGACCAGCACCTCACCCAGAGTGCTGCTTGCCTGAGTCCAGCACTCATGATCATAGCTGTTAGAGTGTCTTAAGTGACTGTAGTCCTGGCTGCCTAATAGTGTTTGAGTCTTTATTTTTAAGTTTCTTATTCTATTAATAAAATTTTCAGCAGTAGAGAACAGGTTATTTTTTTTATTATTATTTTTTTGGTGATGCTGCTGGGATTGAACTCAGACCCGTGCATTTTAAGCAAACAGTCTACCATTGAGCTACAGCCCTGGCCAGAGCAGATTCTTTAATTACTTGCCTGGCCTGACTCTGCATTGGCTTTGGAGAACTGGAGGGACCAACCCCCTGAGCTTCCGCACCAGATGGGTTGCTTAAGTTCAATAAAGAAAATAGAAATCTAAAGTCATACCTACACTTTCACATTCTTAAATGATGTTTTATTGCTTCTTGGGTTTATGTTAAAAGTATTCTCTAAGACCGGAAATTGACAACTTGGGGTGGCTTTTCTTAAGTATTTAAAGTAATCATGAGGTCTTTTCTGACTCTTACAACATGCACTTTTGCATTTTTGAAAGTAGGTTCCTGCTCTTCCTGGCTGGCGGGTTCGGTTCCACCGTGGGTACATGGCAGCCTGTGGGCGCAGAGCAGCTTGTCTCTGCCTGCTCCTGCCGGCTTTCTGCTGGGCCGTGGGCAGGGTTCCTCTGCTGCGAGTGGACCTTTGGTGTGGAAGCCGCCAGCCTGCGCTGCATTTCCCCAGTAATTGATGTGTGTGTGGACCTTGGAGCAAGCGGCGGTTCCATGTTTCGCCTGAGTGTCTCCAGGTCGTGTCATTGCTCGGTGCTCCTGGTCACTGGCACCAAGGCACTGCTGTCCTCGCTGCCTCTTGCAGACGATGTTCGCGCAGTTTCAGCACAGCCGGGAGAAAGCCCTGCCCTCCGACAACGTCAGGCATGCGCTTGCAGAGAGCTTCCGCGATGCCCAGCGCTTCCAGCTGGGCCTCATGGACGATGCCGCCGAGTGCTTCGTAAGTGCTGCGGGGTCCTGCCGCGGGGGTCTTCCTACAGGGTCCTCCGTGAGGTCCACCCGTGAGGTCCTCCCGTGCAGAGTCACCTTCACCGTCAGCAGGCGCAGATGAGACAGGGCGGTCAGTGTGTCCACGGAAGGCCCATCTCAAGGCTGACTTTAGGTCCACCTGTGTTTTCTGTTAAGCATTTGGTTTTGATTGTTTGTGCTACTCTAATTTTTACGAGTGTTAGGCCGTAAAAGTACTGGAAACTTTATCCACTGGAACACAGACCTTTGTAAGCCCTGTCCCTGAAGCGAGCGTCCTGCCTGCGGCCTCCCTGGGCCATGTCGCAGCAGTGACAGGTCCCCTGTGGATCCCCTGGCGAGGAGAGGGCTGTGGCCGCCCTGGGGAAGCGGCTCGGGCCTCACTGCAGGGGCGCGTCCTGGTGGGGACGCTCTGGGGCGTCACAGCTCTGACCCTGTGCTGGGATGTCGCCGTTTCTTCTCCCTCGTTGCAGTTTCTGTCCCACACACTCTGTGGACTCTCCTGGGACAGACCCCACGGCTCCTTCCCATGTTTCCTTAACAGCCGTATTTCACGTTCCTTAAGTAGGACTTTTTTATCTATCATTTTGTCAAAGATCAAATTAAGACCTACTTATCAAGTAGTGTCTGCCCAAAGCACTCCAGTGGGTGCCCGAGTTCCTGTGGAGTGTGGGGTGGGGCACAAGTGGCCTGTGCTGCCAGGTCTCCCTCATGGCAGGACCAGCCTGGCCTCGCCTGCTCCGCCGCTGTGTCAGAGGTGTGCTCAGGGATGGGCACTCCTGGTGTTTCCTATTTATATTTGACCCATTTCTTAAAACAAATGTTTTGAACAATACTGAACCTTAGTTTTACTTTCTTTTAAGTGAAGTTTACTCATACCTGCTCATCAAAATTCATAGTGTCCAGAAATCAGGGCTTCAATAATTGAACAGTTTCAGATGTCTTGAGGCAGAGAAGGGAGATGTGGGCTCACCTAGGTACAGTTGGAGAGTGAATGCACGTGGTCAGTTTCTCAGGATTCCTGTGAGTGGGGGTCCCTCTCCACCATCAGTGTTTCAGGCTGTATCGGCCGGCCAGTGGGTCCAAGCAGGATTTTAAAAAGCACCTGAGTTTCTACAGGTGAGGAAACCAGGAGCAGAGACTGCACTGTTTTCTAATATTAAATCCAGGTCAGCCGCCAAGGGTCACTGCAGGTTGGCTCTGGAAGGACTTTGAGATCTTTGTGAGAGTTCTCCTGTTACTCCCCCCGCCCCCGGTGTTGGGGAGTAGATTTGTGAGGAACACGGAACTGACTGTCCCAGCTCCCGTGTCACACTGGACGGTTCAGCGAGAGTGAGGCTTCGCAGTGCTCCTGCAAGGGCAGCCCGACTGTCTGTTTTTGAATTAGGAGAACATCCTGGAGCGGATCCACTTCCACCTGGTGCCGAGCAGAGACGCAGACATGTGCACCTCCAGGTCCTGCATAGCCCACCAGAAGTTCGCCATGACCCTGTATGAGCAGGTGAGGCAGCAGCTGCCCTGCGGGGGCCTTGCCTGGTCACTCATGGACTAACCTGTGTGTCACCCCTAGTGCGTGTGCCGCAGCTGTGGAGCCTCTTCAGATCCTCTGCCTTTCACGGAGTTCGTGCGGTACATCTCCACCACAGCCCTCTGGTAAGAGCCTGGTATTGATTCTGTAAGTCACGGTGTGTGGACTGCTGTGCAGCTGCGGGTAGAGCACCTCTCCTCAGTGCTTCCTCCAGCCTCTTGCCGGTGGTTACCCTGCCCAGGCTGCATGGGACCAGCTGTTTGGATTTCAGAGTTGGAACTGTCTGATGTCCATCGTGAGCATCTGGGGGAGGGACCCAGTCTAAACAACAGATCCCATTCATGTCCATCCACCTCTTGCACAGCCCGAGTGGTTCTACAAGTGCTCTCCAGGCCTGAGCTGCAACTGTGCCCTGTCACGTGAGGTCAGGCCTGGGGTTTTCTGTTGGTGGCACTGTGTCACTGTTCAAGAAGCGTTGGAGTTTGGAGCATTTCAAATTCTGGATTTTCAGATTAGGGTGCTCAGCCTGTGTGTGTCAGTGACATGCACAAGATATTACTCAAAATCTCTGTTTATATTTCTAGCAAGGTCTTGGGACTGTGAAGGGAGATCAAATGGCAAACTCTGGTCAGCGGAGTGTGGACAGTGTCTTACTCTCCCTTCCTGAGGGAGGGAAAATGGGTGCCAGAGCGTCCTCACCCAGGGCATTTGTGGCCTCAGCCTTGTCACCAGCCTCGGCCTGCTGCTCATCTACTAAGGATCAAAAACTGGTGACAGGTCCAGACCTGACCCCAGAGGTGGCCGATGACCCTGGGAACTATCTGCCATTTCCCAAGTTTTTGAGAGCCCAGGTGCTGTGTGGTGGAAAGTGAAGAGACTCAGAACGTGGAAGCAGAAGCTTCTGTGTGGCAGGTGAAGCATGAGTCAGGGCACCGGCCAGACCTTGGCAGAGTGAGCACAGGCCCTTTGCTCCTATCTGAGCTCGCAGCTCTGCAGTGTCTCTCAAAGGTCATCCTGTTTAGTGTCTCACATGCACCCACAAGCAGGGCTGGGAGCTCTGGTGGGGCAGCAGGCTCTGAGGTCTGGTTGGTCGCCGTGGGTGGTCAGTCCACTGTCAGTGTGCACGCAAAACAGAATGGCATTGGAGTGGGGAGAGACCAGGAGCTAAAGGCTACAAAATCTTACTCTGCTTCTAAAACGGCACAACCCCAAGCAGCAACTAGATAAGGAGACCCCATCAGTGGTCCCACTGGCTCTCAGACTCGGAGCCCACTTACGCATGTGCTTGTTTAGAGGGCCTCTCTTGTTGGGAGTGAGCAGTGGACGTGGACTGTGGATGCTCGCCACATGCCAGGCTGTGTGTGAGTTGTTGATTTTGATCTCAACAGCAGCAGAAGTGGGCAGCTGGGGTTGAAGTGAGTCAGGATGGAAAGCTGGTCTGCCACTGCACAGCGACCTCAGGAGTGTGTGGTGGGCCACTGCTCCGAGGTCCAGACGTGCTCCTGGAGGGCGCTGGAGGTCCCTCCCTCCGGCTCTGAGGTCCAGCCTTGCTCCTGGAGGGCGCTGACGCCCTCAAGCCCCGTGAGCTGTTGGCTGTGCAGAACTGGACTCTGGGATGGAGAGCAGGTGGACAGTGCTGCCTTCGCGTCCCTCTGAGCACGTTAGAGAGCTCTTCTGGTGTTCACCACCCCATGTGAGGAGTGACTCTGGGGAGGTGAGTGGCGACACCCTTACCCACATGGGGGGCCTGTGGGCTCCGTCAGTGTGACCAGCCTCCTCAAGGGAGCCGAAGCCAGGCAGGTGGTGACTCTGCCTTCTTCTGAGGGTTCGTGCAGTTGGTATCCTTGTCTCTGGGACTGGGGCCCAGAGCCTGTCCTGAGATCTTGCTCTCTTGTTGGGGCCAAGTGTGGGCTCTAGTGCTTACCTGGGGTGCCTCAGGTCCCAGCGTCTGGCCCCCGTGGGGGACCCAACTTCACGCCCATGCCCACCTGACCTGGCTTTTCATCACGCACCTGCTGCAGTTTCCACCGCGTGGAGATTCACGTGAGGCTGATTGTCCAGGCTCGGCCCTGGTGAGGTAGGGAAGCGGCTGCACCTGGGCCAGCTGCGTGATGTTCCCGGGTCACGTACTGATCTGTTTTCAGTCCACAGGCCACATTGGGACTGCTGCTTTTTTTTGTAGCAATGAAGTTGAGAGAATGCTGGAGAGGCACGAACGCTTCAGGCCTGAAATGTTTGCGGAACTGCTGCAAGCAGCCAACACAGCCGGCGACTACAGGAAGTGCCCCGTGAGCAGGGTCTGGGTGTGGGCCCTGTGCAGGGTCAGCTGAGGGGTGCAAGTCGCGTGCTGGCTCCACACAGGAGCCATTTGTCCTAGCTCTGTTTCTTTTAAAAACTTGTATTTGGTCAGGAGATTTAAAGCAGCACATGCCATTCAATTTTTTGGAAGTTCTGGGATTTAACACTCGAGTTTAAAGAGGTTTCTCTTCTTTCTTTGAATAGACATGATAAATGATATTCTTTTCTCATCTAATATTGGTACTAGCTTTTACCTGCTTTCTTTAGGCTACATTCTTGTTTTAACACATCTACAAAAATACCAAAGAATATTTTGATTTGAAGTAAACTTCCTTTTTAATCAGTTATTAGAAGAGATTAGCAATTTCTCAGGGAAAAAAATTAGTTCAGATGGTCTTTGTATAACGTAAATTGCATAATTTCAAAACTTGCCTTTTGTGTTTTTCTTTAGAGTAATTGTGGCCAAAAAATAAAAATCCGCCGTGTTTTAATGAACTGCCCAGAGATTGTCACGATTGGTTTGGTCTGGGACTCGGAGCATTCTGACCTGACTGAGGACGTCGTCCGGAACCTAGCGACACACCTCTATCTTCCTGGGGTAGTGTACCTCTGTTCCTTCTTTTCCCTTTTATTTTAAATTCCTCTGAACACCTTCGTGTGTTGTGATACACATAGTTTTGCTTTCTAGAACCTAGACTCTTTTAAAGAAAATACTGATATTTCTGGGTAGTGTGGCACAGACAGATCTACTTGGCTCAGGTGATGTTTTTCTCACAAAGCTCAGAATAGCTTTCAGTTGCAGACCAAACTCCATCATGCCTTTTGCCCTGAATGACAGTGACAGTGTGATTTCATCCATAGTCAGTGTTAACCTGGAAAAGGCTTTAAGATGTAAGATTCAGGGCTGGGGATGTGGCTCAAGTGGTAGCGTGCTCGCCTGGCATGTGTGTGGCCCGGGTTTGATCCTCAGCACCACATACAAATAAAGATGTTGTGTCTGCCGAAAACTAAAAAATAAATATTAAAAACACTCTCTCTCTCTCTCTCTCTCTCTCTCTCTCTCTCTCTCTCTCTCTCTCTCTAAA